CAGAATGGTCACATGCCTCACTATTCAGCATGTTTTGTAGATTTCCTTCATTACTGGCAAGAGAAAACCATCTTGCACATGCTTCCATGCTTTCAGGACTATGGGCTCCATCAAGATAAAACACCAGATCTCTGGAACATTCCATGCTAGCAAGTCTATCAGGGACAGTCTGAGCTCGTCCTTGCAAATTGGCTGTTGTTAAGCCTTTGATGAACTGCTCAGGCAATGAACTCTATTCCAAGTATAATTTAGTCTGAGGAGAAAATGAAACCCAACATAATAATTGATGCCACTTGAAGAAATCACTAATGCATGGAACTTACTGTCTGGTTAAAATAGGCAGTCTCAAGATGACCAGTCCTCTGAAGCCATGTAGAAGATAATGCAATGGCAAGACCAGCATTAACATATTGGTGCTCACCTTCAAGTGAAAGCTTCAGACCATTAAGCAAGCTTTTATCTAAAGGCTGTGCAACTTGAACATGTACCTGTCATCAATGCAATTTTTTCAGTTCACCCACCAAAGCCTGCAATGTTCAAATTGCATCCTATTTGGCATGATATAGTGAGATAACCATATATGCAGCTACCAAAGTTATAAGATTCAGTAGGCCAACATATGTACTGACTTTTCAAGAACACACAACAGATAAAGCATCCCTAGAATGTGACACAGAGTCACTTGATAGCGTGCTCTTGTAGATATGACCCTAGCATCTCATCTATGGAGTTGTTTACGAGGTGGAAAATCTTAAAATTAAATCTTAGAGCGACGGGTTTTTGGATTAAAATAGATGATCATACTTTGACCTAGTTGATTTAAAAGCTTGGAGCAAGGGTCTGAGAATATCACTTTGATTTTTGGGCTCAAAGAAGTCAAATAAAGGAATTATGGAACTTACATCCAACTTGGAAGCCTTATCTTCAAGAACACACATTGCTTCATCTGGTTGAGGCACAGTAAAAGCTGGAACTCCGTGCTGCACTTAGAAAAAGGAAGGACAATTAGGACGAAAAAAGAAAAATAACTTAAATTAAGTTCCAAAAGAAATATGCATATTCTATTTCAAGTTCTGATGCTGTAAGGGAATGTAACAATAGAAAAACACCTTAAAAATACCAGCCTTCTCCCCAGCAATTTCTCCAAGAGTGTTTCCTGTCAATAGCATCCAGTAAACAAAAGAAAACAATAAAAAAATCATATAATAACATATATGACTTCTGAGAAGAAGCTAAAACCTTCATGCATATATATTTAATTCTCATATAGTTAAAACAAGGTAGCACGGGGGAGTTTGAAACAAAGGGGTAAAGTTAAGCTCTGAAGGCAATTATAGACATCTTTGACTGCAAGCAATATATGTACAAAACAGATGTCACATGATGCTCTACCCCAAAAGTGAAAACCAGTGATTGTCATAAATCATATTCAGGAATTGCACTATGCTAAATAGTCTTGAAAGTATTTTGAATTAAGAACATAAGAGTAAATGGTTATAAATATGTAAGATCAGGGGTCATTTACTGTTACAAAATGCTCCAAATTATCACTCAATTGAGCAAATATTTCATATCATAAGCAAAATTGTATTCATTAAACCTATTAAGAAGCAGGTCACTTATAATAGTTATATAACTATGAGTAATTACCTAAAGTACAGAAATTTAACACTAACCAAGAATCTCCATGTGGTCATACCCAAGGGAAGATATACCACACACTGTAGGTGTCTGAACCTGAAAAAGGTAACATGTTTAAGAGTCAACAATATACTCTAGCAAAGAAAGAGTCTCAAATGCTAAGCCAAGCTCGGTGGCTAGCATATGCAAGGGATGCTACAATGAATTGGTAAATGAATTTATGAACAGAATAGGACATACCACATTCGTGGCATCAAACTTCCCACCTAAACCAACCTCCAAGACAGCAACATCAACCTGAAAAGTTAAAGCCAACATTTCTATTTGAACTTCTTTTATAGAGGGTATGTCCATGGACTGCAGAATTAAAACAACAAAGAGGCTTTATGTGGAATGGAAATAACACACATCAAACCTGCTCTCCTGCAAATATTTTGAAGGCAAGCAAGGCAAGGAAGCGAAAGTATGTAGGCATTGGTATATCATCACTGGCTTTTTCCTGCAGGCACACAATGGAAAGCCACTAGAGTTAATTTCTAATAAATTCAAACAGACAACCATTTACAGATTGCCGATTATGCAACTTGAAGTCATATTGGTCAGATAATCTAAAGTCAATATTCCACAACAGCAACCAAATCTCATTGGAAGATACCTTTAACCTATCGTAACACCACCAAAAATAAGCCAAAAATTTCTCCTCAGATATGTCCACACTGCAGCAGCAAACCAAAACAGTAAGAATTAGAAAAGGGATAAAATTTTATAATACAAATGGTTGCACATATCTGAAATGGTAAAGACAATCAAAACCAAGAACATAGTACACTTTAAAAGTACTAATCAATCTCACTTATATAAGTAATACTCAAGCAGTAACAGGGCTAAAGGAAGTAGAAGGAAAGAAATATTAAAGTGGACTGCTTACATTTAATAAAATAAAAGGCATGAACTTTGGATTTGAAAAACTCACCCATCTAAACGAAATCTTTCCCGGACATCAATAAGGTGAGGAGAAGTGAAAAGTCCAGTGTGAAAGCCACAATTACGTAATATAGCTTCCGTGAAGGTACAAGTTGATCCCTTTTCAAATGTAAAATTAGAATGGAAATCAGTATCATAATAAACATACAATAGAAACACAAAATAGCAAGCAAAATTCAGCCTATAGAAAAAGTTATGCATTGAATTAAGATTCGGAAATGGATGAATCAGGACGCATAAGATACAAATAAAATAAAAAGATATCCTTACTTAAAAAAGAAAAAAACTTGAAAGCACCGTTGATTAAATGCAAGAAAGAGAGAAGTTTAGAACACCAACTACCTTCCCTTTGGTGCCGGCGACATGGATAATCTTCATCTGTGAAATCGCCTCATCCAAATCCAGAATCTATAAAAATAAATACAAAATCAGCATAATAAGCTCGTGACAATCACTTAAATCAGCAGACTTACCTTCAAATAGTCGTAAAGCAAGTCAAACCGATCTCCCTTGTTGCTCTTATCGGCGCGGCTCCGTTTCATGATCAAGGAGGATAGAGCATCCAAAGCCTCCTCATACGGAGTCGCCGTCGACTTGGCCAATCCACTCTTACCTTTTAACGGAATCAAAAAGGCAGAATGAAAATGATTTCTGAAAGCTGAATTGATTGAGATTTCAAGTATTGCAAGCTATCTTACCTTCGGCCATGTTTGGCTCTTGAATAAAAGGAGAAGCAGATTCTGGCGTTCCGAATGTTGAGGAGTGAGCGGCGGTTGGTGAGGATGACGAGATTGCTGCTTGGTTGTGCTCTACAGTCGATGGTAACTTTACTAATTTTGCAATTTGGTCCTTCAGTTATTGCACTGTTTCTATATCGTGACTAAATGTTTTTTATTTTTTCAATAAGAAGTGCTTAGAAAAGAGAGTAGAAAGTCGATTAGGAAAGATGTTGTTTATTGTTTCCAAAAAGAACAATAATTAGATAACTTATTCGGTATAAATGTTACATCAATTTTTAGTTATTTATTTTAAATTTTGAATAATTAATACATCATTTAAAATTTTGAGATAATAATTTTAATTTTTAAAATATATATTTGAAAATTAATTTAAGTTTTTTAAACTTAAACTAATGTAAGCAATAATATTGTATAAGTTTCAAGTATTACACCATAAAATCATATAGAATAATTATAAGTTATAAAAAAAATTAACAAAATAAATGCATCAACAATGTTATTTAATGTTCAATTTAACATAAAACACTATATAATTTTGTTATTAAACTTTGAATTTGACTATCACACACTCCATTCTTTCATTTCATATCACAAAAGGCATAAAGCAAGCTTGTGATTATGAAAGGAAAATTTTTTTTTCCCTAACTTATGAAAGGATCTTGTTGTGTACCTAAATGGTAAAATTGAAGAAAAAATTTTTTTTTCCTTACATGATCAAACGATTCTTAAGCCCATTCCCTGTCCGGATATCTGATCGTGTGCCTTCTCAACCAAAGCTGATACATCACCATGTGGAACGCATCGTACGACTGTGGCGTTTCGTTCCACACGAGGTGCTTACTCGCGGCCGCACCAGATCTCCTCATGTCCTCGTAACCATCAACCACCACGCGAACCAATACCCGCTTCAGCTCCTTGGCCCCACCTCTGGTCCCCACAAACACCGCGATCCGTTGCCACGACAGCACGTCAGTCAGCGGTAGGTCTTGTATCGGACGGTCGGTGATCACTACCGGGACGCACCCGAAACTCATCGCTTCTCCGATCCCGGTGACATCCTGGCCGTACTCGAATAAACAGAACTTGCTGCCGGCGAGTCTCGCCTCGTAAGTCATCTGATCGGATGGCTCTGATTCGACTAGAATTTCGGGATCAGATAAAAGTTCCTCGACGAGGGTTGACTCTTTGACCCAATTGTACTTGACATAAGCGAAGTACTTGGCGCTCTTGTTAGCCGGCGCGTGTAGGGCGTGAACATTTGCGAGTGGGGGTAATGTGATATCCTTATGAGGGGTAAACAACCCGCTGGTTGTTGGGAAGCAGGAAATCTGGACCGAATTTTTCTTCAACTCCACGACGTTCCGATCCGACCCGTGACGCACACCCGTGCAGGAGAGGTAAAAATGGTCAGCCCCCAGAGCCCGATTCCAGTAAATATAATCCGTACGATAATCCCCAACAACACGCGCGGTGGAGCGAGGGGATAAGTCGGCGTGGAACGAGAACGGGATGAAAAACAGGTGGGCTTCTTCTGGGTTCTGCGTGATGAAGTTGCTTTGCGTTAGAGAGAAGTAAAACAGGGACTCGACTTGGGAGTCAAACGATGGCGCCACCGACCGTGGGTAGACGTAAGTTTTGAAAGCTTTGAGCATTTTTTGGTAGTTTGACGAGAAAATGGTGGGGGAGAGGTAAGGAGAAGAACTGAGGGGCGTTAAAGGAGGAAAGAGGGAAGCGAAGAGAAAGATGCAGAGGAGGAAAGGCAGAGACATAATAATTGGAGAATAGAGGGAAATTAATGGCGGGTTTGGTCAGATTATTGCCGGAGCTCGGGGGGAGGGTTTTAAAACGGGGTTTGAAGTTATTGCAGTTTTGGCGTGGAGGTTTTGTTTCGTTGGGACATGACTTGAGAGAAGGGAAGGAAGTTGGTCGCACGAGAAGTAAATGGGCGCGTCGGGATTGAGAGTATTGTGATTTTCGCATGAAACATGAAAAGCATATGAAATTATACGGAAAATAATTTTTG